ATACGTCTTTGCATCTCTTGCCAGCACTTATTCACCTGAGAAAACCCACAACAATTTTCATGCAGAGATTTATAATAACTTGAAGAGGAAAACATCATTCTCAATGCCACAGTACCACAAGTCCTGAACTTCTCATCTTATTGTTAGACACAACTGCCTTCTTTCCGCTACTCCTCATTTTAACAGAAGCAACAGTATTTAATTTAATCCACCCAGAAGCAATGACAGAGTCAGCAGCTGATATACAGCTAGTGCTGGTTAGAACTCTGAATTACTGTTTTGTGAAGAATGTCAACATTTTGACATTTGTTGCTATTCTCAGGGTAGAAAGGAACTGCATATTCATCTGGAAATTTTGAAATGTCACACTGAACTCGCAGATTCAACTCTGAATTTCAGAATTTCACATTCTATTTCATTTTACATTGGCTTTCAGGGTTTTTTAATTCATTAAATGCCGAAGTAGAATATTTTAAATCACCCTTTTTAATTTTACTTTGGTTTTCTTTATTTGAACACATTAAAACTATGGGAAGCCACTGTCCTGCACTGACAGAAAACAAACTTCAATCATTATTTTTTCACTGTCTCCAAATTCCATCCATTGAAAATTTTTGATACGTGACTTTTGTGAAGACACTTAGGTGAAAGCATATAATTTTGGGTGAGAAGACACTTTGGGGGGAGGCAAGCAATGCAAAGCAAGCTGCCTGCCTTTCTCCACAAGTCAAAAGCAACACTAGGAAGGAATATATCCCTGTGACAGCAGGAAGGAATCTGGCAGACTGCTTTTATTCATCTGCAGAGAAGAAAAAGTTTCTAGTCGCTAAATTAACAGCAAACAGCAAGAGAATTAGTCTCAGTTCAAACACAAGTGCCAGAGGTATCTCCTTTATGTGAGAGATGGCAGACTGTAAAAATTATTAAATCAGTGTAAGAGAAGTGCATCAGTCATAGCGAAGGGCACTGGTGAGCAGATGTTTCTGAGGCAAAGATGAAACTTCCAAGCGAATGTCTCCATCACAGGTATTAAATCAGTGGAAAAACTGACAAAAGTTGTGTAAAACGAGAAAACAGCGAGCCATCACAGTCCCTTTTGGGCACTGCAAGCTGCAAGAGACCATGTCAGGGCTGGCTGCAGCAGGCAGCAAAGAAATCACCTCCAGCAGTGCAGAAACCACGCAGTGGCTGAGGTCCGCTAGTCATGAGCAGCCACCACCACCTAAGCCACAAGCATGAGCTGCCTCATTAAATCCTCCTGGTTTACAGTTGTCTCCCCATTTTTCATGGTGCTCCCCTGGAAAGGTGTGCAAAACTGAAGGGTTGTCTGAAGAGGAGGCCATGCTCCATGTGCACTGATGCCTGTACAGGTGTGAATGGAGGTACTGCAACCTGTGGCTGAGCAGGTTAAGGAACTTGGGCACTTGTGCCATGTCAGGGAGAACAGACACAGCTACCAAAGGGACACTGCTCCCTTTCTCCTCCCTCTCTCCTTTGCAGCAAATCTGCAACAAAGAAACGCGGATTTGGATGCTGTACTAAATCAGAGCTACAAGACACTTCTGTCCTCACCAAATTGTCAAATTGCTGTCAAGAGATAAATGTTTTTGTTAAGATTTCCACCATTTTGGACCAGAGCCACAAAGCTGTCTCAAATGGCTTCAGTGGTACCTAGTCTAGATGTTGAAAACATGAAAGGTCCCTTTAGGAAGGAATGTGCTTCCCAAAACCTATTCAGGAGAATAGTTGGGATCTAGAAAGAACAGATATCCCAGAGCCATCCCTCAAATACACCAGGAGATACATGAGGACCCTAAAAGGTCCACAGATCTAGCTGGGACATATGATGGTGTCTCAAAATGCTCAAACATGACAAAAACCAGCGATAAGACCTAAAACTATTTGGAGATACAGGAACTAACAAGGGTTTTCGGTGTCTTAACCAGTCCAGCACAGAAACATTTGGTCATAGATGAGGTGGTCGGTGGTGGGAGTTTACCAGTCCTGCTTTGGCCACAGGGCAAAGCCCTGGGAATACTCCACATCAGAAACTGGTTTTGTCATATGTCTACTATGGACATGTTTGTGCCAGAAATGAGCATACCTAATGAGCCACCCCAACCTGGTGCCCTCTGCCCTTTGGGAGAGGAGAAGTTAAAGAGAGAGGCTTCAGATTTTGACTTGGTCTGAGCAGGCACAGCAAGAGCATGAGAGGAGCCAAATGTTCTCACGAGAACTCTGCTGCTGTTGCTACATAAGTCCCCACCACCCACCAGCCAGAAGAGAAAGCTCCTGAGGTTTTTTTGGCTGTTGAAGCACATGAAGGTTTAAATGAGGACATGCACTCCACCAGATCATTTCCTAACTAGGACTTGGGCACTCATGCTGGACAGGGTGCTGCATTAAAGACTAAAATGCCCAGAGGCTTCACATGCATGACTCTCACCCCATAAGTGGCCCAAGGACAGAATGCAATGTGGAATTGTGTGAGAGTAAAACTCATTGTTTTCAGCAGGCTTTAAGAACCAGTACAGATTATTTGCTGTTCCCATACCAATCCAGATTTATTTTGGATCAGCAGCGACTTCAACATGATTAGTACACAGCAAAAAAAAACAGAGCCACAGTGTCATGAACCTCTTCCTAGCCAGAATGCCAAATATAAACCTTTTTTTTTTTTACCCTTTAAAAACATGAAACAAATTTAATGAAAAATTTTCCCTCACAGTGATGGATCATGGTGTATGTTGGAATTAAGGACCGTGAACTTTTAATCTGAGATGGATTTGCTACAACATCCTTAATAATTTGCACACAAACTATGTTCAAGATTAGGCATGCAGTTTTCTGAATACATTTAGAAATTGTTTGATATTTTAAAACCATTCCCTTGCAAGAAGAAAAATTCCTAAAGGTCACCTTACATTTATGTGAGATGTATTAATGCTTCTTACCCTTTCTGTTTCTTTAACTGAAAGGCCTCAAATCAACCTTGAAACGGCAAAACACAAACAAATGCAGAATCATGTGTGTGTGCTGGAAAAGATGATAAAATTTACATGATAGCCAAATAAAATTACAGTGACAATTCTTCCTAACAGATACCTGGCTCTAACACAGCCGTTTTTTCCCCATTTAAATAAAATAATTCCCAAAGTCGATTTTATGAATGAGTTACTCTGCAAAGAAAGAGAACGGCATGTGCTAAGGCTGGACAACAGTGCTTTAAAGGCAAAGCCTGCCACCAATATGTTACAGAGGATTTGTAAGCTCAAAAGTGAAATAGGTAAGAAAACAGCTATTTAGCAGGTTGGAAGACAAAGAAAGTTTCTGCAGGGATTTATCATCAAGCAGATGATAGTCTGTTCTGCAGAAGAATTGAAATTATTTTTTATACAGATACTTATGAAGTATTTCTGCCTGTGTATTTGCAAATGCCACGTGCACACACACCAACATGTATATACAAATATATATAGGCATACATGAAACCCCCAACTTGAGCTAAATTAAATTGTCCCTCCAGCTTTGTAATGCAAATGAGACTAACAGGCTTGTGCTGTTTGTGGTTTGAGATGATTTGCGTTTCCATGGAGATGCTGACTGAACTACAGTTTTAAATTTTTTTATATATATAAACCTACTTGTATCTATAAAAGTCTAAATATGGATCTGCTATACCTCAGCATTTCCTCAGTGACTCCACTGGAACCACAACCATTTACACCAGTTAAAGCTATGTGCAAATTTTGTGTCTTTCACTACTTTTCAGTCTAAGCTCTATACCAAGTACCTGCAGAGCTGAGAGTTTATTGCTTCTCTCCTTGCTTCAAAGGTTCTTGTCAAGGAAAGGGAAGAAAAGAGAAAAAGCAGTTTCTTAGCTGCTTGTAGATAATATTTCAAGGACTTCTGTAATTTCTTGCCCTCTCTAAACTGCCTTGAGAAACATCTTTGCCTTTTAAAGTTCCCACTGTCAGGAAACCTGGAATATAGGGAAGACCATCTGTGTGCTGTTAGAGAAGGAAATTACAAAGGGACAGGCTTTCTGTTATGTATCAGAAGCTTTTTCCCCTTTCCCTGTGAGCACCCTCAAACTCAAGAACACGGATGTGCTCAGACGTGCCAAGGTGGGTCTGGGCAGCAACTGCATCACTGCCTCCCTACCTCACCATTTGTGGAACCTCAGCTCATCTTACACAATGAGCGCCCCACAAAGCTAAAACACCTCCTAGAGCCACATTAGAGATGGCCACCAGCAGAAGGGACAAAAGCCAGGCAGGATCAGCTTGGGCAGAGAAACCAGGCAGACCCACTTTAACTTTCTATTTCAAACTGACTTCACTTTATGAGGTCCAGGCACTTGTTGAAGTGGATGGCGGCCACCCGGTGTACCAACATCGGAGAGGAAAACCAGAGCTGAGCTCTGTGGGGACTCATTTCCATGTGGTTTCAGTGATAAGTGATCTTTGAACAGCGACACACCAGAGGACAACCTCCGCAATCACTCTGAACCACAATCAAAACCAGCCTCTCATGTACCTCCCATCTGCCTGAGGACAGGGAGGATTAATTGTTGAACCAGGTATGTCCACAAGTACATGAAGCAGCTCACACCCATCCTCTCACTTCATCTTGGGAGTGCCTAGAAGAAAAGCTTCCAGTTGAGCGATGCCTTACAGAGGCATGGCCAGGGAGCTCCTTGGGTAACAGCATGTCACAGGGACAAAGCCTCCCTCTCTCCCATGGGCTGGACACCATGCTTCCATATGTGACACCATTTTACAACTTGAAGCTGACAGTTTTTCTAAGCCCCTGCAGAGGCTCTTTTCAAAGCAGATGAGAGCTCCCTCTTCCAGCTTTTAAGAAGCCATATGTAGGGAGATCAGCCCCACACTTCTGATAGCACCACCTTAACCCCCACCACCTTTCAGGGAGTGTCCCAGGCCACGCTCAGCCATGTGGCTCTCCCAGGAAAGTCAGTGACCATTGGCATCTCTTACCTTCTGCTGCAGGACGGGCTGCTGCGGGGCCAGCACTGGGTCAGTGATGTAGGTCTTCTTCGTGCCCGGTGGCTGGTAGAGTGCAGGGGGAGCCTGGCCCATGGCATTACTCGCAGGATACGCCGGCTCGGCCTTCCAGGAGCTCTGCAGCACGTAGGGCGCCTCAGAGCCGTTCCTGCCGCCGTAGCCCCCGTAGTAGGTTTCCTGGTAGCGGCCCTGCGGGGGCGCGTACCCGTAGGCGGGCTCGGCAGGCCTGCCGGGCGGAGGGCCGTAGCCATAGCCAGGCCCCTGGGGCTGCGGCGCTCCGTACTGAGGGGCAGCGGGCTGGCGGGACGGCGCGGTGGCGTAGGCCTGGCCGGGCCCCAGGCTGCCGTAGTGGCCGGGCTGCGGGCTGGGCGGCTGGTAGTGCGGGCTGGGCTGCGCCGTCCTCACCTGCACGTTGAAGGCCGGGCGGCTCGGCGTGGAGGCCGTGGCGTAGGAGGCCGGCACCGGCTGCGGCTTCAGGGTGCCAACAGGAGTGACTGGGATGGGCGCTGGCTGCCCTGGGCCCTTGGCAGTGGACTTCTTGGTGGCAGTGAGGGGAGGCTGGTTGGGGATGATCATCCGCTTGTGGCCAGTGACAGGAGTGGACACGGATGGGGTGGTGGCAGCGGAGCTGCTTGAGGTCCCAGAGCCCTGGAGAGCAAGGAGAGAGACACGGGGTCAGCAGGAGGGGCCATTTGGGCACTGGGTCAAGCAATGAGGGTGGAAATGGGGATTTACAGAAATATCTGTGCAGCAACTCAAACTGCTTAGGAAAGCAATAATAACCTAGGGCCACACGTTGCAGAATGGTTATAGCAACCTTCCCCTGCTCTGACAGAACAGGGACGGCACGGCAGCAGCAGAGCAGAAGTGCCGTGCATGGCATTTCATCTCTCCTTGGAGGCTTCTCCTCCGCCTCCAAGCAAACAAACAAATTAAAAAATTATACACACAAAAAAAAAGGGAGACTCGCCAGAGGATAATTAGGGAAAACCCCATGCGTTCCTGTGAAAATGAGTCTGTTTTGAAAAAGTGAGAAAATGAGTTTATACTCTCTATGGAGACATGAAATTCCTTGTGTCCCTAGAGCACTTGTAAGGTTCTGCCCCAATACGGGAGCTCCTTTAATTGTGCAGGAGGCAGCAGATTGCGATAGCCTACAAGCAGCTCCCAGGCTGTAAGAATGAACTCCGATCAAAGCAAATTACTGAGGTGTCCCTACCCTGGCTGTACTGGTTGAACACCTGGAGTGACCCCAGAAAAGTTAAATGCTACACATGCTTCATTAAAGGGCAGAAAGTGGGTCAGGATTTCCAAGAGCTTCAGAAGTCAGCTCCTACCATGGAAGCCATGTAACCCTGCACCAGTGCCCCAGGCACAGCAATGCTGGGGCAGCCAGGGAAGAGGATTACAGCAAATGCTGCTGCTTCCTGCAATTTGGCCACAGAATGAAGCTTTGTTGCAGTGACGCTGTCTAACAGGCATCATACATCCTTCAGTCTAGTGTACTTGTTTGTCTGGCTTACCTCACATTTAAATGTTCAAAAACACCTGTGTAAAAAGACATCTTGGTTAAAGAGCTAACAACGTGAGAGTTTCTGAAGAACACTGACCAACAGTCTTTATGTCTTTTCACTACATCAGAGAAGAGTAAACTTGAATTTCTAGAGTTTAGGATTAGGTAAAATTTCTTGCTTCTCTATTTTCCTTTATTCTAAAAGAGTACCTGAATTTTATGCCTTCTACACGGAAATGCATTAAAGTGAAGACATGCAGTTTGACAGCACTTAACACCATAGTTATATGAAGTTATATCTCATTCAAACTTCCTGTACCAGACTTGATCTCATCCATCATCTGCTTGATAATCTCCAAGTTCACAGCAGCCCAAAGGCAGACCAGCCTACCCATGTTTATGTGCACTCTAAGGCATGTGACACCTTTAAATGACCAACCTTGTATTTGTCCCAAGGTGTTCCTGTTTATGCAGGCACCCTGACCTCCACCTACTGCTCCACCACCCTCTTGCTGGGGAGGGCACGGTGAGGATTCTTCAGGACATGCACAAGCTGCACTGGGGCCAGAGAAATCCTGTGCCTGGTCAGCAGGTGGCGGCAATTAATTGCTGCCAAACCACCCAGGGGGGGCTGGGGGAACTTCAGCCACCTTGAGCCTCCAAGGGTTCCAAACTCATCCTCTGTACGGGGTGGGAGAAACTCATCCTTTGTACAGGGTGGTTGTGTCCCCCAACATTTGGTAACCACCTCACACAAAGAAAATAAAAAGACAAGTGCAAGCCACTCAGTTTCTAGTGCACAGTCAACAAGTCTACCCAAGGGATAAAGAAGCTCCACCACCCAACTGGCAGCTCTTCCCTGATGATGTGCAAATACTTTTTTGCTGATGCACTGGTAAAGACCTTACTCCTGCAATCACACCTTCAGGGCAAACCTCCCACAAGGAAACACTATAAATCAGCAAAAAACCCCAGGCAAATAAGAGCATCAGTCTGTTCTGAGAGGTGTGAAAGGTGTGTATTCAGAAGTGGGGAATAATAAGGCAGCAAACTTCTGCTGGAGGAAAAACACCTCAATGTATTCACACCCTGACCTTGCTAACAGATCCATGACAAGGCAGCACATAGACAGACAGGAGATTTTCAAACTGAGAGCAAGGAAGAGCTGAAGCATGTCTTAGTTGAACTGCAAGGGCAGAGACAGGTTAAGGGTCTGTAGCCCTCCATTAATACTGCCTGATCCTTCTACTTCTGAAACACCTGAAAGGAAGCTGGCACTCCTCCATCCCTGCATCAGAAAACAACTGCACCAGCATTCATTGCTAGCAAGAAAACTTGCTTTCTGTCAGAATTGTTCTCCCATGTCAGGTTGGCATTTATGCCTGGGAGTGCCAGAAACTTTCCCATTTCCTCACCTATTTCATTCTTGTAAATTATAGTAGTTTGTCCACTTACTGTAATGGGATGAAAGGTCCACAATGCAGCACTGTGTAATTACCACCAGAAAAGCATTTTTCTTTTCCATGTGAAGAGGTAGAAGGTAGATAATGTTATAAAGGAAATGGCCTGTCTAGGGGAGGGGGAAAGACCAACCCAAAACAACATAAGTGAGCCCTGTTCATCACACTCTGTATTTCTGAATGCAGACTCTGGAAGCAGGTCATGACAGATGCTACTAAAGCTCTTCTGATCTTATCTCAAGAACTGGGTGACTTCAATCATACATATAAACATCCACATAACACACATAAACATCTACATAATACTTCACTGATGCCAGTCTCCTGCCTGGACTGGAATACACCTTAAGAATGAATGATAAACCCTTCTTCCAAAAATCCCCCAAACCCTCACAATCTGTGGACCGGTACTGAGCAGCTCCTGTGTTTGACACTGTGTTTGACACTACAAAGAGGATGAGCTGCAAGTATCCCCTCCTGCACCAGAATCCAGTGAAGGAAGGTGACAATTTAGGGGAGCAGAGCCCAAAGTTTGCTATCAACTCCACAGCAAAGGCCCAAGCTAACAAGTACCGGCTGCATTGTGGCATCAAACCACAGGCTGCCTTGAGGAGGAGGAAGTTTGCATCAGTAGGAGTCCCCAGAGGCACCCTGCATGACTCATTCTGAATTCCTCTGAGGGCACTGGGCAAGTGTGTGATGAAAGCTGGGGTTTATGGGGGGAGGTGTAAGCCTAGCTGATGTGGTAGTAGAGAAATGGGACAGGCTGCAGGGAATTTAACACTACTGGAGCATTGATGATTTATGAGGATGCAAGTTGGTTGTAGCCCTTGTGCAAGGGCACAGGTGAGGTATCACCATAAATCCTCTGCCCTTTTGCCTGAGAGAGAGAAGGGTGGCCACAGTCCAGCCATGCACTCAGATATCACCCCAGGCTTAAACCTTAAGATTACTAATGGGTGAAGAAAAAACTTTATAAATGAACAGTAACCAAGGACAAGATTCCTGCTCTGAGGACAGGAATATGTGGAAGGACGAGAAAAGGGTACTCAGATACCACTAGAAGAGAGATTTCAACAGCTGTCTGGAAAGCACTAGGAGGAAGGATGGATGAGGCTGTAGAGATGCCAGGTAGATGGAGTAATAAACAGAAGGCTGGAAGGGGCTATCTGTATTACTGAGTAAAGCCTAACAAAACAGATGATTGTCACAAATGTTTCACCCATGTGAATCCATAGAACTTCCACGAACACAACTAGGTAGATTCATCCAAAAGCACATCAAAGTGACTGCTCAGAAACATGAAAACAAGTAGAAACAGCAGAAAGAAAAAAGAGAAAGACAAAGAGTGAATTCATAGGAGCACAAGCATCCCTTTCTCCAGCAGCCCCTGGACAGCTCATTTCAAAACCATACTGCATTTGCAAGTGATTATCGCAGCCAAACACACTCTCTGACATCCTCTGAGGGCTGTTTTCAGAGGAAGACAGGCTTTCCTCTGCTCGCCATGCCCTGATGAAACTGTCTGACACACTTCGCAAGTGCAAATTAAAACCACGCTACTTACCATCAACCCCTTCTTGCAAATTCATATTTGCAAAGAGAGTAAACTAGAAACCCCAGGTGTTGATAACAGAGCCGTTGAGAGAAACTAGAGTAGGAAGGAGTTAAATTCAGAACCTCATCTACCACAAGCATTATAATACAAAATCTTTTTTTTTTTTAAATGGGAAAGCACAAGAGCCTTGTTTAAACACAGATGGAAGTACCTAAATGTACTGCCTCTTCTACAAATGAATTATCCAGCAGTTCAAGTAAAGGTGAACCAATACTGACAAAATCAAGTAAAACTCAACCAAATGTGGGAGGAAAAAAACCCCAAAACACTTCTAAAAAAGTTTACCATGTAAAACCATGAGGGGAATACTTTTGCTTGGCAAATCCTGCCTTGTCTTTTTAAATGCAGAGGAGGTTTATAAACATTTTTAGGAGTTTCTTGTACCAACCATCATAGGGAAAGTCTATGGCAATGTGATAAAGCCACATTGTCCAAGGCTGTCAGAGCTGGGTGTCTGGATTCAAAGCTACCCTGGTGGGGAAACCCAAAATCCTGAGTAGCTTTGATTCTTCATCCTGTAGAAATTATTGACATAGATCGTAAATTAAATTCAATGTACATCTACACTAAAAAGTCATTGCATAGGTATGAGGGATGGAACCTGTTGTTCTACAGAAATTAACCTGCAATTCTTTACCATTTGTCAGGGTTAAATTTTAAAAAGAGTACAGAATAATCACAGTCTACAGCATGAGCATGATTCTCTATGATCAGCTGGAATCCATTTGAAAAGGACTTCATTCTTTCACTTTGCACATTTGTAGAATTATTTTTATAGAACCCCTTCAGTTACTCAAGTTTCAGAGACTGAATCAAAAATGCCAATACAAAGTTTATCACATTCTATTCAATTCTCCAGACATTTTTTCATAAAGGTACAGTTGAATAGCTTTAGCCCTTTAGCTGTCAAATTATTACACACAAAGATACATTACTCCAGCTCAGTGATTTTCAACCTTTATGCTCCGGAGTCCCCAAATGTTTTTCAGAAGAGACAAGCTCCTTTATGGAGAAAGTTAATCTATTGACAATAAACATGGGTTTTTCAGTTACCTTT